TGTCCATGGGGCCTCCATGACCTTTCCTTGTACAGGCTGTGTTAGTTTCCCCTGTATTGTGTACTGTCTGACCCTTCACCCAAGATACCTCACCACCATATTTGAATGAAAGTTTTGCTGGATATATTATTCTTGGCTGGCAGTTTCTTTCTTTCAAGGTTTTATATATGTCATCCCATTGCCTTCTTGCCTCCATCGTTCCTGCCGAATAACCTGAGCTTAGTCTTATTGTTTCTCCTCTGTTTGTGACTTTTTCAGGATTCTTTTTTTGTCATTGGTTTTAGCGAGTGTTATTGTGATTTGCCTTGGTGATTTTCTTTTGGAGTCTATCCCATATGAGGTTCTTGGACGGTCAGCTTTTTATCTTTCATGATATTGGTGAAGTTTTCTTTCAGCAGTTCGTCAGTGATCCTCTTTGTGTTTTCTGTTTTCTTCCCCTGTTTTGGAACTCCGATCACTTGCAGATTTTTGCTTTTAATTATATCCCACGTAATTCTCAGGGTTTCTTCATTTTTCTTCGTTCTTTTTTCTGATTTTTCCTCAAAGTTGTATCCAAGTGTTTATCTTCAATTTCGCTGATCCTGTCTTCTTTCGTTTCAAACTTGCTTCTCAACCCTTCTATGATACTGTCCATTTCTGAAATCTTGCTGTTTATCATTTGGATTTCTAATTGTTGTTTTTGTACGATTTCTAGTTGTGAATTTATTTTAGCGTTTTGTTTCTGTATTATTTTCTTGAATTCTTACATTTTTTTGTGTGTATTTTCTGTGAATTTGTCTTTTTTTCTCCTTTTTGTCTGGTTTTTGTTTCAACTCTTGGATACCTCTGAATATTAGAGATTTGAATTCCCTATCAGATAGTTCTAGTGCCTTTTCTTCTGCCGGAAAGTCGTCTCGTGTTTTATTTTGGACACTTACTGGAACTATCTTGTCCTGTTTTTGTATATGTTTTGATATTGTCTACTGTCTTTGTGGCATTCAGTAGTTATTTTTCTCCTTTATTAAATGTAGATTTGTGTGTTTTGTTTTGCTGTTTTATTTGGTTATGTCTGAGCAGGTGTGCTGTGTGTTCTTTGTTGTTTGCTTGTCTGTATGATACTTTTCACCTCCTTCTCTAGTGGATAGGGTCAGTTACTAAGGTATGGTACAGCAGGGCAGGTCCAGCTGGAGGGGAGTTGCTGAGATGGGTTGTTTGTGGCACATACTAGGGCCGAAAGTGCGGGCCAGAAATCAGTGCAGGGCAGGTTCCGGTAGGCCATGCCTGTGCTGCTTGGGGTTGTGATGTTCAGTGCACGGTGCAGATAGGCGGGAAGGAGGGGGGAGATTGTGATGTGTTGAGCTAAGATGGGCATGGGAAAGAGGAGAGAGGAGCAGAGGCCGAAAACATAGAGATAAATAAAAAAGAGTGCTAAGGGAGCTTGCTGTTGGAGTGGTGAGATGAGAGACTGAGAAATGGAGAAAAACAAAAAGCGTAAAAGAAAAAATGAATAAATAAAAATTAAAGGAAAAAAAAGAAGAAAAAAGAAAAAAAAGCCCCCAGGGATCTCACTGGTACGGCTACCGGGACTGGAGAAGTTGTTCCCAGGCCGTGAAGTACAGCCTGGCTAGAAGGGGTAGAGGTGTTACCCAGTGCCAGGTATTCAGGAAACAGGAACAGAAGGTAAGTATAGAGAGATGAGAAACTTGAAATGAAGAAAGACAAAAAGCAAAAAAGAGAGAGAAGAAAACAAAGCAAAGAAACAAAAACAAAAAAATAAAATCAAGAAAAAAGAAATAGTCTACGTATGTCACTGTGCATCTGCACAGAGTAAGGGTGTAGCTCCCAAGCCACGCAGTACTGCCCAGCTAGAAGGGGCTCCGAAGCCAAGAAAAGAGAAAGAAAACAAACAAATAAATCAGAACAAAGAAACAAACAAAAAAATTCCCAGGTGTCCCACCAGCGTGATGGCATGGGCCGAGATGCAGTTTCACAGTCGTGCAGTGTTTCACAGCCTTTCAGGAAAAAGCAAAGATGGCACATGGAGCCAGGTATTTGAGAGAAGGGGGGCAGGGGTGGTGGGGGCTAAGGAAGAAATCTAAAGAAGTGGAAAAAAGCAACAGCAGCAGCCAGCAAATGGCACTCAGGGAGCTGGCCAGTGCTGGTGGGTGGAATCCAGGCAACACCGGGGTGAAGCCAGTGCTTCCCAGCCTAGAGTCTGTGGCCGAAGGAAGCAGAGGAGACCGAGTGGGGGTGAAGAAGGGTGGGGGGTGGGAAAGCATGTATCGCTGGTTACCGGTTGTTCTGTCTCTTTCTGGAAACTCCATGAAGCTGGTTTCTCGTACCTCCTGTTCACTGATCTCCGATAGGAGTCCAAGATGGCAGATCCATGCTGCGTTAGCTGATGGGGACCTCTGTATGTATCTCTCCTCTCTCTCTGTTCTCAGTCAGTTTCTTATTGCATTTTGTGTTTGGCTGAATTCTTTGTCTCTTTATTTGATGTTTAGGGTTTCAGGATTGACATGTGTCTCTGTTTGACTTAGTTTTTCGGATCTTTGCTATGGAGGGATGACGTGGTGCATGTGTCTATAACACCATGTTGCCCAGAAGTCTATTTTAAGAATTATTGATAGGATAAGATTTCAGATGACAAAAAAGTTAGATATCTTAGTAATGAGATTTAAGCTGTTAACTATATATACCATTATTTTTGTTACTGTTAGGAGAAAATAATTAACGTATGCCGTTTTATATGCTTCATAATGAATCCATTTGTAGAAATTATCTTTTGAACTCAAGCACTGGGAAATTAAATCAGAATGTGAGCTTTTGGAAAATATTTTTGGTTTCTTCTCTTTGCTGTTGGACATGCCTGTTAAAATGATGCTACAAGAAAAATACGTCAGTATTTATCCCATACCAGTACCCAGACTGGGGATAGAAGGATGGCATGTTCAGGAAATTAGTGTAATCTCTGTAGAACCAAAACATTACCAAATTCTTGAAACAGTGAAGAATGTTTTCAGGTTTCTAAAGGTACTTGTTGCCTGTGGGACAGGAAATTTTGCTCAAGGATATTATTAACTTATTTGTTTTTCTTTAATAGGAAAATAAAAAGTATTTCAAGCGTAGCGAACTTGCAAAAAAAGAAGAGGAGGCGTATTTTGAGAGATGTGGCTACAAGGTATGAATGGCTACTTTTACATTAAATTGTATATTTCTGAATTTGAATTTATTCAGTGACAAAATTAGTGACAAAATTATTGATCTTTGTTCAATTTATCAATGTTATACGTTAGCCTATATATGAGAAGCCATCTGGAGAGGTATGAGTCTTTGTTTTTGTTTTTGCTTTTTTCCAATTTTATTTTTTAGATCTTGAATTTAGGAAAATACATGCATGACTTGGCTTGGAATGGTTTGGCTTTTTGTGGACAGCATGAAATGGCTTGAGATCAAAGCTCGAATTTATTTTTTTTAGCTAAGCCCTGAATCTGATACTGCCTCATTTTCATCTCCACCACCACTCCTCTCGCCACTTCTCCCAATAAAAGTCTATATTTAAAGGATTCCAGACATTTTATTCATTCACCGACAGTAGTATTAACAGTGGTATTTTCTCTGCTTTCTTTTGAATATATTAAGCCATTGATTTTATGTTTGCATTGTTAATAATTCTTTTTGGCTTTATGTACCTCTGCCTGAAATACAGTGCCATCTAATAGTTACATGCTGTTGTGTGATAAGGTATTACGTTTCAAACACTCCTTAGTCCCTATTGGGTAGAAAATGTAATCTTGAAATGTTTTTGAGACTTAAATGAGTTGTCTGGAAGGTTTTGTATATTTTAAAATCATGGCTGAGATTATCTTTGAAATTATCTAAATTGATAATGTATTAGCATTTTTACTGGGAGGGGTTGAAGGTTATGAGGTGGAGAAATTATGTTTAAACTATTTTTTTAAAAAGACTATATCTAGTTCAATAATTTTTTAAGGTTCTATTGAAATAAGTTTGCCAAAGCATAAAATTGAAATCAACTTTTTGTTCATGAGACATCAATATAAAATAATAAATACTCTTGTGCGTGTAATGGGGAAAGTTCTGGAAATTCATTTTTCTGGCATAGCATTTCTAGAAGGAAGTATGAGGAATGCAAATGGTATGTATATGCATTCGGTTTTATTTTATAGTGTTCGGAAAGGGCAAGTGTTAAAGAAAAATACGTATTTCTGATAGGTTTCTAAAACCTGAAAGTTTATTTTTGTATCTCGATATTTTCCATGAATATATTGATTTTTATTTGCTTTCAGTTTAGGAAATTAAAATAAGATTTATGTAACTAATCATTGAGTAGATACTCAGAAAGAAGTGTTGGCATCTTTGGCTTGCCCAGTGGATCTGAAATAAGAGTCACTTATCATGGGTTTAGTCTGCTGACTTGTTGCATTCCTAGATCTTTAAAATCGAAACCTTTTCAGCTTTTTGTCAGATAAGAAAGTAATTTAAAATAGTTTTTGCTTTGTTTAGATTGTCTTAGTGATATAGAAGTGCTTTCTTGTTTGTATAGAGGAAAGCACTGAAGCAAAATAATTACTGTAAAGATATTGCTTGTCACACTGAGTCCAACTGACAGAATGTCTTAGACCTTTTCCCTAGAACTGTTAACTGCCACTGAATAGTTAAAAATGCTTTTAGTCTTGAGATTTTTGGAGAAATGCCTCTTTATATAAATTCAAAAAGAAAGTACAGGTTTTTCTTTCTAAGGATGTTTTTATTATTTCCTTTTTCATAGTAATGAAAATGTAGTTATGTATTAGTGTTATTTTTTCTTAGAAATTAGTGATTATTTTTTAAGGCTTAATACTGACTTCACCTGTGAAAATATGAAAGTTTAGTTTCTTAACCTCAGTTTTCTGCTAGCACTATTAACACATAAATGTAACCTTTAGCCATAAACTATAGAATCATAAGTTATATAATTTTAACAATATAGTCTTTCTTAATTACATATGGGTTTATTCCCTAATGTTGATCTTCTTTTATGTTCTTTTAATCTTACTCCTACTTTTAGCATTTTAGGTTTGTTTTATGGTCGGTTGGGAAACTATGTTTCAGTATCTTTTCACAGGCCACAGGGTGGGGCTTATATATTGTTGATCTCAATTTTCCTAAACTGTGATTTGGACAGCAGACTCAAGAAACTATGTGAAGAGAATTTTTTTTCCTGCAGGTTCATATGAGCAAGAATGTCCGCTCTTCCCTTGTGTGGTATGAGTACAGGGATGCTATTTTTCATTATTTTTCCACAAGGTTCGTAGCTCAGTTTGTGGGCAAGTTCTGTATAGCATGGAGAATTTTTCTATATAGCCAACAGGGATTTCTGTGCATTTGGAATAATATGTTTCAATAAGTAGGGTAGGAAAAAGCTGGAGCTTGAGGCTTCACAGATTTCTGTTGGAAAGCAGTTATTTTCCTTAGTCTTCAGAGCAAGAATCAAATAACCCTGTCAGGTAAATTTCTCAGACAGGAGAACCAAGTTAATTGTTTTTAAGAAAAAAATAAAATTCTTTAGATTCTAGGGAGAAGATTAGTCTAAATTTCAGCCCTATTACTTTTTTTTTTATTTTGGAAACCATTATATTTACGCTACTCTTTTATGGTAAGAATGCTGCTTCTTACGTGCATGCTTCACACTTGTGATGCCGTTGAAGTGGATGTTTGATAAGCTCTGAAAAACGTGCATTTATTAGCTCTTTCCTTAGAGGCGCATTTAGAAAACCATCAATATTTAAAACGTGTTTAATTTCCATAAATAGCTAAGGTAATAGATAAATTACCTATAAATATATATATTATATTTTAGAAGCTGAATTTCATTTCTCTTGGCTATTAATATAGATACAGCCAAAAGAGGAGGACCAGAAACCATTAACTTCATCAAATCCAGTATTAGAACTTGAACTGGCAGAGGAAAAATTACCCATGACTCTTTCTAGGCAAGAGGTAAGTTTATATGTTTAGTGAAAAAAGGGAAAGTCTCAACAGCATTTGCATTTATATCTGCTTCTTTCCAGTAAGTTATATGTCATTATTTCTTATATAAAGTGACTTATTAAACTAAAAATATTGTGCGGCTAGCTAGACAGTTTTCTTCATGAGGTCCTAAATCTGCTTCTTTTCTTGATACTACTAATGTTTTTTTAGAGTGTATCCTTCTAAACTTTATAAATAAATGCATATAGTCTTAAAAAATTAATTAAATACAAAATTATTTAAGTCTAGATAATTATACTTAAATTATTATTTGTCTAAATTATTTTAAATAATATATTATTTTGTAACTTACTTTCCTTTCTCTTACTTAACAGTACATCTTTCCAGGTCAAAATATAGAAGAGAGCTGTTTCATTATTAATAGCTGTATAATTTCCCTTTGTTAGCTTGCACCATAATATTTTTTAAAACCAATTCTTTATTAATGATCATTTAGATTGCTTCAACATTTCCCTATTATAAATAATACTAATATGAGCATCCTTGTATAGACATCTTTGCATGCATAATAATTCATGATTATTTCCTTTGGAAAAATTTCTAGAAACATGATTCATAGGGCAAAGACTATGTATATTTTTAAGACTTTTGTTACACGTCACCAACTCGCTCTGCAGACATCTTTTACACCAGTTTACACTTCCCATCTGTAGTGTTTGCCCATATCCTAGTCAGTATCAACTATAATTATATTTTTTAAAAAAGCAAAATTTGAAGACATTTATGTGATATCAAGAATTCAAACTATTCAGAAGTGTGTGAAACAAAAATGTCTTCCCTTCTTCCTATTTTTGTCCCCAAATTCCGCCCCCCCGCCGCCCCCAGTCAGTACTCAGTTCTATTATCTGAGACATCGATTCCTAATAGTCTTGTGGATCTTCCATAAATTTTCTGTACATGTAAGTGTATACTTTTTCTCCTGTTTCACACAAAGTAGATCATTTACATGCTTTTTTACCTTGGTTTTTTCACTTAAAAATGTATTTTGAGGCTATGTGAAATTATCCTACTGATAAACTCATACAAATGCATCAAGATGTATAAGAATGTTCACTTTAAAATTGTGACAGCAAAAAAGTAGAATGAATATATATGTATGTATATTTGTGTGTTTGTGTGTATACGTGGAGCCCTGGTGGCCCAGTGGTTAAGAGCTTGGCAGCTAACCAAAAGGTTGTCAGTTTGAATCCACCATCTGCTCTTTGGAAACCCTATGAGATGCTTCTACTCTGTTCTGTAGGGTCGCTATGAGTTGGTATCAACTAGATGGCAGTGGGTTATATATATATATATATATTTGACAGTAAAGGTGTGACTTCGGGCAAGTTACCAAACATTTGTGTTCCTTGATTTCCTTCTTTATAAGTGAGGATAATAACAGTGGTCTGCCTCATGAGATTCTTATGATTAAATGAGATGTAATACATGAAGACCACTTAGAACACAGTACTTAGAGGTAAGCACTCAATAAATTTAGCTGTTATTTTTAGTAGTAGTTTTGTAATATAACTAGCCCCTTACTCATGGATATTTAGGTTATTTCCATTTGTTTGCTGACACAAAGAGTTCTAAAGTGAACATCCTTATACATATATCTTGATGCATTTGTATGAGTTTATCAGTAGGATAAATCCAAACCAAACCCGTTGCCATCAAGTCAATTCCGACTCATAGTGACCCTGTAGAACAGATTACAACTGACCTATAGGGTTTCCAAGGAGCAGGTGGTGGATTCGAACTGCTGACACTTTGGTTAGCAGCCAGGCTCTTAACACTGTGTCACCAGGGCTCCATCAGTAGGATAATTTCCTAAAAAAGAATTTTTGGCTAAAGGTTGTGTCCATTTAAAATTCTGATGGATGTTGTTAAATTTTCCTACAAAGAAGCTTTACGAATTTATATTCCCACTAATAGTTTATAAGAGCGCAATTTTCCTAGCAACTCTGCGAACTCTTTATTTTAAAAAGGTTTAGTCTTTTCCAATCTGAAAACAATATTATCGTTCTTTTAAATTCTTGCCAAGCTGATAGATGAAAATATATCTTGTTTTAACTTGTAATTTTCTGATTATTACTGAGGTTGAACATACTTGTGTATGTTCGGTGGTTATTAATGTCCCATCTCTTCTGAATTGCGGTTTTTCTGTTGTGAAATTGATCTTTTTATTAATTTGTAAATCAATGCATTTAGATATGACAGGTATTAACCAATTTTCATCAGTGTATCTGGGTCAGATGTACATATAGTGTGTATTTTTTAATCAGTCTGTTATTTGATTTTTGACACACAGGTTTAAATTTTTCCATGACCATGTGAAGCAGTCTTTTTCCTTATGGTTTTTGCCTTGGTGTCATACTTAGAAAGGTTTTTCCCCAGTCATCATGTAAGAATTAGGTAAAGGAATTTAGAATGTATAGCCAGAAGAGAAGAATTATTCGAAACATTTTAAAAAATCCATTATTTGAGAAGCTTTATTTTTGAAAAAGAAATAAAATATGGTTTTATAAAGTAGAACTGGGATAAAATGGGTAGAGGTTTGACAGAAATAGATTTCAGTTTAATTTGAGAAGCAAAACTTATCTGTCCAAAAATGTAATGGACTGTTTCATGAAGAGATGTGATTCCTGTCATTTGTCAGACAGGGACTTGACAAGGTAGCTTTTGAGGTCATTTCTGCATTGATTGCAGATAGCACCAGATGATCTCTAAGTTTCCGTTTTACATCAGTCTTCTGTTAACCCAGTGGGAGTCCTGTGGTTTCTAGTGTGACATTATTTATGCTCCTAGATTAAAGTTCTTGGTTTTAATGTAGTATTACTTTGTTGACTCGTGATTATGGTCAGTTCTTATTATCAACTGCCTCCAGATTTTTTTCCTTCTCATCTTAATATTTTTCGTATATCTTACTACATAAATTGGTCCTTCCTTGAAACAGCCAGAGGTCTTAAACCGTTATGGGTATTTAAGGTGTGATGATAACGTAGTCTGTCTGTTCATGGAAAATGAAAGAAAAAACAGTTATAATGTACATTTTGTATCTACGTTTCGAAGTAAGTGTTTGGTCAAAATATATAGCAATAAAATAAAGTGATGCTTTCTTTCTTAACCTAAAACATGTTAACATAAGGGATTATTATATTGCCTTTTGATGTTTTTTAAAAGAGGACTGACAGCAGTAACATGTTTATGTATGTTAAAATGAGGGCAAAAATAGAACCTTTTCCTTATATTCTTATGATGCTATATTTTTTGGATTGTCTTGGAAAAAAGAGATGGTTCAAATCAGGGGCTTGCTTAGATTTGAATTGTAGATTCATAGGTCAGACCACTTCCTAGGACTTATTTAATAATAAAATTCCTAACAATGACATTTGGATCAGAATAGATTTTAAAATACTTGATTTTCTCTTTGATTCACAAACATTTTTGTTTAGCATAATTGAAATGACCACAATATTTGAAGGATTTTATATCATTCAGAAACATCTGTGTTTGGATAATTAAGTTAGCTTTGTTAAACCTAGATTTCAATTTTGAGGTTACATACAAATTATTTTGAAATGTTTAGGTTTTTTCCTCCCTTAAAAGGTAAATAATTTACTGAGGATTTGTTTTCTCTTTATAGGTTATCAGGAGATTGAGAGAAAGAGGAGAACCAATCAGATTATTTGGAGAAACTGATTATGATGCTTTTCAGCGTTTGAGAAAGATAGAGATCCTCACACCAGAAGTTAACAAGGTAGGACTTCAGACCAAAGCTAGGAGAAAAAAAAAATGCCACTGTACCACATAAACTAAAGGAGTATGGCATTTGACTAATTGCATTAGTATAGACAAAAAAAGGAGAGGAAAGTTGCCAGATTACTGCTGCTAAGTTTTCTTTAATGTGTCTTTTCAAAGAACCAATTTTCGCTTCAGTGACTTTCCCTATTGGTTGAGTTTTCTGTATCGATTTCTGCTTTTCATCATTTCTTTCCTTCTCACTTTGTGATAAATTTTCTCTTTTTCCCCTAGCTTTTTAAAGTAGAAGCTTAGATCATTGTTTTTAAACTCTTCTAATAGAAGCATTGAGAGCTATGTACTTCCCTCTCTTTTACCTGCGTTCCACAAATTTGGTGTTTTCATTATCTTTCTATTTGAAATATTTAAAAAAAATTGTTGTGATTTCTTTTTTGACTCAGGTTATTAGAATGATATTGCTCAATTTTCAGATATCTATTTTTTACTGGTTTTTAATTTAATATCATTTTGGCCAGAGAACAAAGTATGATTTTCAGTCTTTCTAAATTTATAAAAACTTGTTTTATGACTCTGTGTTTAGTCTTTCTTGGTGAATATTACATAGCCACTTGAAAAGAATATGCTTTATGCTTTCGTTATGTTGTTGTTGTTAGGTGCTGTTGAGTCAGTTCCGACTCTTAGCAACCCTGGGTACAACAGAACAAAACACTGCCTGGTCCTGCATCATCCTCACAAGTGTTGTTATATTTGAACCCATTGTTGCAGTTTATCAGTCCGTCTTGTCGAGGATCTTCCTCTTTTTCGCTGACCTTCTACCTTACCAAACATGATGTCCTTCTCCAGGGACTGGTCCCTCCTGATGACATGTCCAAAGTATGTGAGGCAAAATCTTGCCATCCTTGCTTCCAAAGAGCACTCTGGCTGTATTTCTTCCAAGACAGTATATTCAGTATATTTCGCCACCACCGTCATTTAAAAGCATCAGTTCTTTTTCAGTTTTCTTATACATTGTCCAGCTTTCGCATGCACATGAGGCGATTGAAAATACTTTGGCTTGAGTCAGGCACACATTACTCCTCAAAGTGACGTCTTTGCTTTTCAACACTTCAGTGAGGTCTTTTGCAGCAGATTTGCCCGATGCAGTATGTTGTTTGCTTTCGTGACTGCCACTTCCATGGGCATTGATTGTGGATCCAAGTAAAACGAAATCCTTGACAGCTTCAATCTTTTCTCTGTTTATCATGATGTTGCTTATTGGTCCAGTTGTGAGGATTTTTGTTTTCTTTATATTGAGGCATAATCCACACTGAAGGCTGTAGTCTTTGATCTTCGTCTTTAAGTGCCTCAAGTTCTCTTCGCTTTCAACAAGCAAGGTTGTGTTGTCTGCTTATCGCAAGTTGTTAATGAGTGTTCTTCCAATCCTTATTTCACATTCTTTTTCATATAGTCCAGCTTCTCAGATTATTTTTTCAACATACAGATTGAATAAATATGGTAAAAGGATACAACCCTGACTCACACCTTCCTGATTTTAAACCATGCAGTATCCCTTGTTCTGTTCGAACAACTATCTCTTGGTTATACAGTTCTATAAATGTCAATTATAATAGTGTTCACCTCTTCTGTGTCCTTATTAATTTTTTATCTTCTTATTCTGTTAATTACTGTGAGATGTGTGTGGTTATCTATGTCTGTGTAACAAACCACCCCAAAATTTAGTAGCTTAAAGCAATTTCTTATAAAATCTGTTTCAGTTTTCTGTGACTGTGTAATAAATCACCCTGAAACTTAGTAGCTTCAGTTAATTTATTACTATCTGTCGCTGCTAAGTTGGGCAGTTTTTACTTGGGGTCTTTCTTGTGATTGCATTTGGATAAGGTTCTGCAGCTGAAGTCATCTGAAGGCTCCCCTAGCTTGGTCTTCTAAGATGGTATCTTCACTCATATGTCTGGCACCTCAGTTGGAGTGGCTGAAATAGCTGGGGGCTGGCTGGGCGTCTATCTTTGTGTGCCCTCTCCGTTGGTTAGGTTGGGCTTCCTCACAGAATGGAAGCCTCCAGGTAGTTGAGCTTCTTACACGGTGCTTGGCTTCAGCTGTGTGAGCATTCCGTGAGACCAAAACAGAAGTCGCGAGACTTTTTATGATCTATTCTCAGAAGTCATGCTTTGTCACTTCTGCTACATGCTGTAAGTTACACAGACCCAGCCCAAGCTGTGTGTGAGGCACCTGCATTTCTGTTTGCTCAACTTCTCTACATATCCTATTTAGTATATATCTTAACCTTAGTATAGCTCATACTATCTTATTACAGTTCCTCTGACCCTATTCTTTCTCCTTTGAACCACTTCATTTATAATCATTATGCATTGAATTAAGAAAGATAGAAAGCAGTTTCTTTTATTTTTTTATCTCTTTCCTTTCCCCTAGTTTGTTATTAAGTTTTGTTGATTCTGTTTCTGTAATCCGCCTCATATCGTTCTTCTCATTTACATCTCTGCTCCCACTGCCTCCAGTTAGTCTAGGTTGTGACATTGGTCTTCTCATATGCTTAAAAAAAAAAAAAAAATTTCCATCGAGTTGATTCTGACTCATAGTGACCCTGTAGGACAGAGTAGAACTGCACCATATTGTTTCCTAGGCTATTATCTTTATGCAAGCACCCTGCCAGATCTTTCTCCCATGGAGTGAGGGTGGTGGGTTCAAACTGCCGACCTTTTGGTCAGCAGCAGAGCACTTAACCACTGCACCACCAGGGTGCCTTTCTTATATACTTACTACATTATATCTCTTTCTTATTCAAACCTCCTACACTGCTGCCAGTTTAATTTTCTAAAGCATACTATGATTGTATCAGTCCTCTCTGTTCAGAACTTTTAGCAGCTTCCTGTTTCTCCACATGGCTTTTATAACCTTTCATTATTTGTCACCAAGCCGCCTTTCTGGCTTTATTTCTCTGTATTGCCATTCCAGCCACACAACATAAACCGTTGCCTGAACACTTTTAGTTCCCTATGTAATGTTAATTTTTCTTTAACCTGCTGCTTTGATTTTCTGTTGTATGCTTAGGTTGAAATCTGGTACTTATACTTTTAGACACAACTCAAAGATTATGTCTCCTCTGTGAACATTTCTTTGGTCTCGGTCAGAATTAATTGCTTCCTTCTCCAATGAACTTCTGTTAGTGCATTTACTATGTTTCACTAATGTTAGAGTTATATACATATTAATCTCTTCCTTGTGGGCAAGGACTGTTTTATTTTTGTGTGCCTGGTGTAGTGTGTTGCATATAGAGGTACTAGGCACTACCTTTTGAGGAAAGAGCATAGGACTTGGAGTCAAAGGTTTAGATTCCGTTCCTGGATTAGTGAATTATTAATTGTGCGATCTTTGGCAAATCCTTTAATCTTTCCGAGCCTTAAACTTCTCACTTGTAAAATAGAGGTGGTGATACCTGGTTCACTGGGATGTTGTAAGAATTGAATGAGATAACCTTTGGGAACACCTGGCATTATTCTTTATACATTGCAGGTACTCAGTACATGTTTGGTAAATTAAGTCTTTTGAAGTGAGTGTTTCTGTTCTGTGTTTATGAAAGGACAGTAGACTAGAATCTGATATTTGTAATATGGTAACAGTAAGAATTAACATTTGTTGAATGCTTACTATGTGCCAGTGACTGTTCAAAATGTACTATTCATGTATTAACTCATTTAAATATTTGTAAAGCCCTTGGGGCAGTCCCAGCATACATAGTAAGTGTTAGAAAAAATAAAATATATAATCCTCATGAAAAGCCTATATATTAGATAGTATTATTATTATTATTTTATGGATCGGGCAATGAGGCACATAGTTGTCCAAGAGTTAGTGGTGGCAAGGATTTGAATCCAGATAGTCTCAACCTCTACCTTACAGCCATCTCGTGGCCATAGTTCCATAGCTATTAAGGTCTCATGGCCAATTCTCATTCATGTTTAAGGAAGTGAGGCTTCCATTTTTTAATCCAGTGATCATGAACTAGGTCTGCATGGAACGTGAAATTTGTCAGTTTGTTAAAAACATAGTTGAGAGCCTGGGATATAAATGAGACACCACTTTTATTTCATTGACATTTCTGAATGTTTTGGGACCTCAGAGTAGTTAAAGTGAGATTAGACATTTTAAGTGGACTAGGAAAATGGGTTGAGGGCTGTAATGGAGACCAGGTCACTTTGGGTTTCATCAGAAAGTTGCAGCATTTCTGAAGATTCCTATTTGGATTTGTCACTCATGTCTATTTTTCTGACCATTAGACTAGCCATTGCACATGCATCTTTTATTTTTATTATTATTATTTTTTATTGTGCTTTAGTTGAAAATTTACAGCTTAAGTTAATTTCTCATTCAAAAATTTTTACATATATTGTTTTGTGACACTGAATGCAGTTCTCACAATGTGACAGCACGCTCCCCCTTTACACCCCGGGTTCCCTGTGTCCATTCGTCCAGTTCCTGTCCCTTCCTGCCTTCTCCTGCTTTTGGACAGGAGATGCCCATTTGGTCTTGTATATTTGATTGAGCTAAGAAGCACGTTCCTCATGTGTGTTATTTTTTTGTTTTATAGGCCTGTCTCATCTTTGTCTGAAAAATGAGCTTCAGGAATGGTTTCAGTTCTGGGTTAGTGGAGTGTCCGGGGGCCATAATTTTGGGGGCACGTCTTTTTAGGTTTAAATATGTTCAGAACAATTAACTTTGAAGGGCAATGGTAATAGCTGTGTAGTAAGTTGAAATCTTATTTGAGTCACTAGTTTTGCTAAGCTCTTAACTCCTTGCAGAGAAAAAAATGAATTGTACTTATTTTTAATGAAAATCAAAGGCAAAACATTAGTGAAATTTCATACTAGGTATACTTAGTTTTTTACCTTTCTTAGGGATTAAGGAATGATCTGAAAGCAGCTTTGGATAAGATTGATCAACAGTACCTCAATGAGATTGTGGGCGGTCAGGAACCTGGAGAGGAAGACACACAAAATGATTTGAAAGTGCATGAAGAAAACACCACTATTGAGGAGTTGGAGGTAACCTCTACACCCATCTGACCCCATTGATACCTTTTGTCTGGAGCCGGTGGTTTATTTAATCAGATTGTTCACAGAGTTCAGAGCACACCATCACCTTTGGCCATTGGAAAGGCCCTTCTTTTGTTTCATGCTTTTATTTATTTACTCCTCTTTTTCCTCTTTCTCCACTCTCCTTAACCTACTTCTTACCTTCGCAGGTAATCATTCTGATGTGTTTGATATGCATCCTTTTATTTGTTGGTGTTATTATAAAACCTGTAGTGTTTTGTGTGTGTTTTACTTAAGTGATATTCTTTTACTTTTCTTTTTTTCACTTAGCACTGTGTTTTTAAGGTCCATCCTTGATGCCTATGTACATCTAATCCTTTCCTTTTGACTGCTTCTGCATGGTATTCTGTATGCTGTGGATTTCATTGCATTTTACTTTTTATTCCCTGATAATGATGATGCTCCCAAGTCTTTGCTACCACAGACAGCCTTATGATGACCAGTCTTGTACACAACCTCTAGAAGACTCAAAAGTGAGATTGCTGGATTTACATATATTTAACTTGTCTAAGTACTGCCAAGTTGCTCTCCAGAATGACTGTCCCAGTCTACAACCCCACCATCAGTGTATGAGTGTCTTGTATTTCTACATTCCTGCCAACACTTAACAATATCTTGCTTCTAATTTTTTGCCAGTGTGATGAATGTGGAATGATGTAGGTAATCTTAAAAATTAAAATGCAATGTTGTGCCATGCACATATGTAACATGAGAAGAAAGCTTGGCGTAGTTTAAAGCTCTTAGTGCTTAATAAATCATAAGCTGCTACTTTTCTGTTTTCTTTTATTCCTGGTTTTTACACGTTTTATTCTCTATGCATACAACCATAATTGAGGCAGATGTCATTTTAATTGCCCCTCCCCCATCTGTGTACCCTGAGTTTGACTGAAATAAGTGGTGGTGTGAACTTTTTTTTCTTTTAAATAGCTTTATTGAAATATTCACATGCCATACAATTCACTCATTTAAAGTGTATAATTACGCGGTTTTTAGTGTATTCACAGTGCAGTCATCATCACAGTCTAATTTTAGAGCATTTTTGTTCCCCAGAAGAACTCCTATATCCATCCTCCCTTTTTTGTCTTTTGATTCAGAAAAGATAACATGCTCTTTAAATTTAAAAAGCAGATCAGCTATATATGCATATTTCTACTTATCTAGAAATTTCATAAGTTTTTAAATAAAAACTGAGCAGTATATGTAACAAAGTGTATTTAGACTGGTGTTGGTAACATATATATTCAGTCGTTGCTCATTACTAATGAGCAAAAGCATTATTTCTTTTTCTTCAGGCATTGGGAGAGTCATTAGGAAAGGGTGATGATCATAAAGACATGGACATCATTACCAAATTCCTCAAGGTATGTACTCTTAGGCTAGGAAAGGGGGACATTTTGATTAGTTAAAAACTGTTCTTGAATTTTTTGATTATCAAGGGTTAAAGACTGGAAAGGGAAATGCTTAACAAACATTTTTTGACTGTATGCTATATTTATAATATTGTTATATACTTGGATATAGAGTTAATCAAAGAATATGTTTTCTTTCCTCATGGCACTTAAGTTTAAAGCTGTCTTGTTAATGTAATATACAGAAGGAATCACAGCAACAGAATGAACAAGAAGTGTGAGGAGTGCCTTTTTTGTTTTTTAACACTCTAGGAAGGAGTGCAATGAGAGGAAGGTTCCAGAGCTTTTATGAGAGGATGATGGCAGTAAAAGGAGGGAGGTGGGAAGACATTGGCAGTGAGAAACACAAACACATCAGTAACCTTTCAGAGACTGTGCTTATTTTCTCAGGTCTATCGATAGTGGCTGTGATTAGCTCTTTCCATCTTTCTTTTCAGCATTTCCCTCTTTGGTGGTCTAGGCAGAGTGTGGGCAAATCCTAGATTCATTCAGCATTTAGTCACAAACTTTTATTGCATTCTGGCCAAGAGATTTAAATGCTAGAAATATAAGAAAATTTCTTGACTGATTAAAGTATCAGCAAATAATTACTTAATTTGATACTTGTTTTTACAACTTAAATGCAACCTGTTGGTCATCAAGGTTCTGAATATATTGAGGACATGGCATGGAACTAGATAGGGCATGGTAACTAGTATGGCCTCTCCTTATGCAGGATATCCATATCCACTCAAATAGTATGTCCTCCTCAGCCGTCACTGTTTACATATCTCTAGAAAGGGTGCACTTTATGCAGCTAAACTCAAGGGGTATCAGGGTATTTTTCTGGGGCATGGAAGGAGTGGACTATAGTTACTTTTATCTCTACTCCCTTTTTTCCCTTAGTCTGGCACTTTAGTGAGTGGGAATTTTTAGTTAAATTGTGGTGCCTATTACATAAGTAGAAAGTCCAAATACTGCAACATACTTGGGAGACTGTTGTTAAATATCATAGTACATATGGTCTGATGGCTGATAAATCTAGGTTGGTTGAATTTTGTATAATAGAAATATAAGCAACAGTTTATTTCTATCAAATAACTATGAAATTTGATAGTTCTTTTTGAGGGGAAAGGGATTATCTTGAGCTAGGAATGTATATGGAATAGGGAGGTTTCTAAGAAAGTTTGTGACTTGCTAGAGATACAACTTCAAAATATACATGAGAAAATAAGCAGAAATAGTTCCTTAATTAAATATCATTTGATGATATTTTACTCAGTCAAGAAATCAACTTCAAGGGTGATTGTATACTGCTTTTTGTGTGAGAGAACTTTTAAACTTGTGGAACCACTAGGTGGCATTGTAGTTTAAATTTACCCATTTTTTCAACAGTTTCTTCTTGGAGTTTGGGCTAAAGAATTGAATGCCAGAGAAGATTATGTGAAACGCAGTGTGCAGGGTAAACTGAACAGTGCTACTCAAAAACAGACTGAGTCCTATCTCAGACCACTTTTCAGAAAGTTACGGAAAAGGGTGAGGTTTCTCTAAAAATACTTTTAGACTTTTTTTTTTTTGTAAATAGTATGTATAGATTTAAAGTAAATGCAAGTCTGTCTCTCACTACACACAGTAGCTTCCAAAATTAGTTATGCTTTTTATTGTTCTTTTCCAGAATCTTCCTGCTGATATTAAAGAATCGATAACAGATATTATTAAATTCATGCTACAGAGAGAATATGTGAAGGTACATTACTATGCTGTGCGTTGAAATTATGTTTATGAGCATATCTATGTTATGTACATAATGTAAATGTTCATTTGGGATGGGGGGATTTTACATAGGAAATGTAAAAATAAATATGAAATGAACTGGTAGTTTATTTTCTATTATTTTGCCGGCTTTATTGTTTAAGGAATGAATAACAGACTTTCAGACCACAACTGTATGTTTTTGTCATTTTTAAGGTAAGTCTAAAGGTTCTTCAGAGCATGAACTGTATGTAGGCAGTGTTCATTTTATGAATAGGATTGAATTTCAAAAGTTTGTACATAGTTCATCATGGCTTGGAACAATTTTCCCTTAGAAGCAATGTTAGATAGATTAGTTTCCCAGGCCAGTCATAAGACCCATTTAATTCACAATATAGCTGAACTATTGTACTGATGATACAATGGAATTTAACCAGCCTTTATAATTATTTCTATGGGAAAATGTTCCAAGTAAGGCTGCCAGAATTCATCTTTCCCATTTCAGCATTGCAACAATAGGGCACCCCTTGCAAAGGAAGACTTTTTCCCCTTGTTTCAGTGTTTTTACTCTTGAATGGGCTCTGGGAGGAGGTGGCAGAGGGAAAGCGCTCTGGTTCTGAGAGTTCCTGGGGCAGAGTGTAGAAAGGGGGGAGTGGAGGCCTGTCAGTTGGCAGAGAGAACAAAAAGAGAAAGGCTTAATGTACCAACAGTGGAGACTGGAAATGTGACACTACTTGGTGTGCCATAAGCAGAGTTGGAGGGAGGAGGCTCCTAGCAGCTATACCTCCCAAGAGAGTAGGAGTCAAGAATTTCAGTGCAACATGTCCAGTGACAGTTCCAGAGCAGTAGTCGGGATGACCGTTAGTTACTGCTGTGCTCTGAGTATTTGTACTCCTAAGAAGGGCCTCCCTGCATTCCTGGGTGACTGAATGACTTACTTGGTTAGAGCCTCCTGCTGATGAGGTGAAAGTAGTGATTTTACTCTCTGTAAGAGCCAGTTTTTCAGAGAAAATACTTTTGCTTTGTGATCATGAATTTCATTTCTAGATAGTTTCTATCAGTTGCATAATCTTAACTAAGGAAGATTGCATTTGAATGGATGGATGAGGTTGCTATCACTGTAAAAAGAATTTAAATCACTTGCCTACTAAAGTGGATGCCTTTCCTTTTGTTACTTTTTCTCATTATCATATATGAGAATCAGGTGAAAGTTTATTTTGTGTAAACTACAGAAAGGACCAAGAAACCTTTATAACCTATTTTGTGGAAATTTGGAAAAACTACACATGGGAATTTTTGTCAATTAATGCTCAATGTTAAAACTTACACATGAAAATTAGTGATAAAAATATGCATATGCTCCTTTAAAACTAAGTTTTATAAAATCTGTAGAGCAGAGCAAGTTCAAAATTATCTTTAGGATAGGAAATGATCTTCCAGTTAGCCTATTTACAGTATGTGAATTTTTTTTTAACCAGCTCTGCATATCACATAGATGTTTAATTTTTGAACTTAAAAATTGTTTGAAGCCTGTCTGTATAAGCTTCTCTGAAACCTTCAGAGTCTTTTAAAAATTAACTTGCTTTCTGTTTTGTTTTTTCCCTCTTCTTCTTGTTCCTCACAGCTAGCCAGGCTTGCTTTAAAAAAGAGCCATTTGTCTTCATTGGTCTCTGTCTTCACTTTTTTATTTTAAGGTTACTGGCAGGTGGGAGGTTCAGGGGGTGGAGGGCAAAGTGAACCGATCTCATTCTTGAGGTATTTGACTCAAGGACCAGTATTTAATCTCTGTTTACACATCTGTTATGACCCTAGGTGATATTCCCAGCACACAGAGCTCCCGCTGCTTTGGGAGGTCTGCACTGTTGTGCACTGAGTGGATATAGTTTCAGGTTGGATTATGAAAAACTAGTTAGCCTCTATCTTGTATATGACCACCTATGGAGAAGACTGGGTCTAAAGGAGAACCAAATTAGAGTTCCTAACAGTACATCAAATTACCTACCTGGTAGTTCCATATCTGAAACATACTAAATGCACAAAAGCCACAAAGAAGTGTTTGTATTTTTATTCACAAACTTAACTTTGGTTTGTTTTTCCATGGACGTTCGTGGTCCTGGGCAGGGCAGTCAGTCACCACATTTTTTAATTTGTTTGAATAATGGGAATGGTAATATTTTTAGCATGCCTAAGAAATGGCTGAAAATTAAGTCGTAAATGGCTGTGAAATACTTGAAGTAAAAATTTGGACCCACATAATACTTCTACTTTTCTGATCTCTTCATAAACTTTCTTTTTAGGCTAATGATGCTTATCTGCAGATGGCCATTGGAAATGCCCCTTGGCCCATTGGTGTCACTATGGTTGGTATCCATGCCAGAACTGGTAGGGAAAAGATTTTTTCCAAGCATGTTGCACATGTTTTAAATGATGAAACACAGCGGAAATATATTCAGGTAAGCAGTTTAGAGGGAGAAAGAAATTTTCTGGGGGTTAATATTCTGTGAAATTCCCAAAACTGTAAGTTTTGAGAGCAGAAAAAGAATTACAGCAAATAGAATTACAGCAAATGGGACATAGCATGATTGGATAAAAGTCCATTATTTACAAGTACTTATATTTAAGATACTTTAACTGAACAAAATAAAAACCTTTTAAGTTTGGCATATAATGTAGGACAGGGTAAAGTGTTGTGTGTTAATTACCTTAGCACTTAGCATTGAAATAAAACTATCACAGCTTGCTTTTTTTTTTTTTTTTTTAAGACATATGTAATTAGCAAGCATAACTTGAACTCAGATTTGGGAGTTTAGTGAAAAGCAACTTGGATTTAGAGTATTTTGCAGTAAATCCTGTTCTGTTACTTTCAAGGTAGATATAAGAAGTACTAAGCTAAAAAGGTGAGGATATTAAAAGTTTGTCTTTAATGAATGTAATAATTTTTAAGTAGCATATATCAGCACTTCTTTAGTTAAGTGAATAGGTCTTAAGTGTTTATAGTTTGTTTTCTTAAAGTTATACATGCCCCACATAAACTTGTTTGTACTCTTGTTGGGTTAGACTTTTCTTCTTATTGGGAAAAAAATCAACTAAAATCTGGGTTTTGCCAACTGATCATAAATCCCAGATTGTGTTCGTATAATGACTTTTGCTGGATGTTAACTCTAAAGCAAGCTTGAAGATGAGACTCTGGAAGTTTACTTAAAATTAAAGATCACTTAAAATACATGAAGTGCTTCCAGATTTTTTGCCAGAGAACAGTCATTACCATATTCATGAATTGTCTTTTGTTTGTATTTTAATTCCAAGAGCTGAATGTGAGTTTGTATGTCATACTTCATGCCTTAATCACAGATATTAGCATTTTAAAATATGATTTCAACCTGAGTCTTTAATAGCTGTAAAATTTATAGAGTTTAAATATACTTGTGGCAATCCAAGCACATTTCCATTTCTTAATAAGCCTAAATGACTGTATTAAAGGTAGATAGCTTTTAGATGGAAAAAAAAAAGTTGTTTGACTTTAACAATAGAAAACTCACAGTTTCCAATGATTAAATTTGCTAATATTGTTCAGCTATGCCATGGCCAAAGCTATCATGTGTATAAAAGTTCATATAACTAGATAAATTGTCTAAAGACAGCATTTCTTTTTGTAAAAAATGGTATAGTTTTCACCCACCCCATAGAATGATTTAAAAAAAAAAAGAATACTAGTATTCATTTCTGGTGTATTTTGGAAGGTATATAATAAGCTGTCCTCCCTCCTTGTTCTTCCTTTTTAATTATTTCTTCCCGTTTTTTAAAATTTTCCTCTTCCTCCAAGGTGATTAGGGAAATTGGTGAATGTACTGTATCTGAACTTTAGAAGGGTGTTTAGCCTGAATCCATTGATATTTTTATGTACACGTGTAGACGAGATAATACCCTCAGGTGGATCTATATGTTATTGAGTGAGTGAAGCCATGGAGCACTGAATAAGGGATCCATGGTTATTTGGACAGATGCTAATGACATTTGTCATAGGGTTCTTACTGACCTCAGTACTGTCCTGCACAATGCTTTTCTAACTGATTTGGGTGACTGTGCAGAGAGGCATATTTATCTGATAGCAGGCAAAGATATGGTATGTATTAAGGTGGAAAATAAATTGGCATTCCAGAAGTACTTGACAGACTGGAGAGAAGGGCAGAGTTTTAAAATATAATATTTAGCAAGAACGACCATAAGAAAATTTGGATCCATAGCCCAGCTGCTTAAGTATAGAATTTGAGCTATGTATATATATATGTAAAATAGGGGATTTAGTAGACTGTAAGTACAATAAAATCAGTAATATGATATGGCCACCAGAAAGGCTAATGATAACTTATGCCTGCAATCTGATAAATATTCCCTAGATTTTTAGACATAGAATTTAGTGTAAGTTCTACAGGGCAGGAACATAGTCACTGCTATACCTCCAGAGTCTAAAACTGTACCTGACGCATGGTGGCTGCCCAGAAAATATTTCTTTTCTTTTTTTTTGATGCCTGTGTTCCAATAAAACTTAATTTACAAAAATAACAGCAGGCCAGATATGGCCTGCAGGCTGTAGTTGCCAAGTGCTGGTCTAAAACACTTCACAATCACTCTTCAACCCACTGCAGTCTGATTTTTTACCTCTCTGCTGCACTGCAAGGACTCTGGAAAGGTCATTCATGGCCCCTTTCTCAGGTTTCTGCTTGAAAGGGACCAAGTCCTGGCCTCATCAGCACCTGTAGCCGGCACGGCAGCCATGTGGTTAGGTGGAGCACATTTCTAGTTTATTGAAAGGACTATGTTGCTTGGCTTGGCTGGTTTCAGGGCTTTGAAGTAGAGCCAGGAACAGAGCCTGAGGCACCATCCAGGGAGATACTGGCAAAAAGCACACAGGGCAGAGTCCTTCTAACTCGGAGAGCCCTACAGGTATTCAGAGAAGGCATCCGGACGGGTCTCATGCCGACCATTATCTTTATTTCAAGTATTTACTCTAAGCCAAGGTTCTCAAAGTGTGACCACTGGATCAGCATCATCCAGGAACTTCTTAGAAATATAAATACTTAGGCCTTACCCAAACTTGGCGGTTCGAACTTATCCAGTGCTACCACAGAAGAAAGGCTGGCAGTCTGCTTCTATAACGTTCACAGCCTCCCCCCCCCCCCGCCTCCCCACCCCCCGCAAAAAAAAACCTATGGAGCAGTTCTACTGTGTAACACACAGGGTTACCAGGAGTCAGAATCGTCTCCGTGGCAATGGGTTTGTTTTCTTTCCCCCCAAACACTTTTTTTGTGTTTTAGGTGAAAGTTTACAGCCCAAGTTAATTTCTTATTCAAAAGTTTATACACACATTGTTTTGTGACATTGATTGCAAGCTCTACAATATGACAGCATGCTCCCTCTTTCCACCTTGGGTTCCCTGTGTCCATTCGTCCAGTTCCTGTCCCTTCCTGCCTTCTCATCCTGCCTTTGGACAGGAGATGTCCGTTTGATCTCGTATATTTGATTGAACCCAGAAGCACGTTTCTCTTGTGTATTAATTTTTTTGTTTTATAGGCTTGTTTAATCTTTGTCTAAAAAGTGGGCTTTGGGAATGATTTCAGTTCTGGGTTAGCAGAGTGTCCAGGGGCCATAGTTTCAGGGGTTCAATAAATATTTCTGATTGAATGAATACTCAATAGAACAAGAGAACTGATGGTCTTATTCTTTTTTTTCTTTTGTGGGGGGGGTCCTTGAGAAAGGAGACTCTTGATATGGGGATCTGGGCAAGAGAACTATAAATAATGGAAGAGCCTTCTGGTGGAAGAGGGTTAACTTGTCCTATAAGACAGGCTTCTGGTCAGTATAAGAAAAAACGCTTTTTTTTTTTAAAAAAACAACTTCATATTTTTAAATAATTATAGACTCACAAGAAGTTGCAAAAATAGTACAAAAAAGTTTTTTAACAGGCAGACTTGTCCAAAGATGGTAGTGGGGCTTCCTTGGAAGATATAGGGGAGATCCCTGCAACTTGATGTTTTCAAGCACTGAGTTAACTGTGCCCTTTTTGGCTCTTCTAGCACTTAGATTTCTGCGGTTATTCTCTGCCATTTCCCTAGAATCCATTGCTTAAACCTAAGGTTGCAAACTTGGATGCCCACAACAGTCAGGTAACAAGTGAGCTGACAGACAGATCCTCTGTCCTTTGCTCTCCTGCTTTTTATATAGGCACAGATTGAAGCAGTATTTCATTTTCCTCTCAATTCTGCTATAAGTAAAACAAACAACTGTGTAAACACAGTGTTAAATGTCAAGTGATGCTTAACCTTAACGTTATTGGAGTCACTGGGGAGTGGCGAGGACTATGTCACACTGGAGAGTGCAAGCTCATTTAAAGGAAGAAAGCCTACTGCCCATCTCTAGCTCACGTAGCAGGAATATGGCACCAGCGTTGCTGGATCTTCCTATCTTCCCTACTTCCTTCCTGTCTCCTTCCCTCCTGCCTAAAATCTTGATTGTTTTAAAAAGTGTGTTCTGTTTTTAAAGTATTAACACCAAATTTAAAAAAAAATTAACATTGTACAAGGCCAAACAAAATGCCAGTTTGTGATCTGTGTCTTCAGATAAACCTGCGGTGCAGCTTGAGGCCAAGAATGCTGCTCCCCATGTTAGAGTTTTATGAAATTCTTGATTAGAATTGATGGAGTCATTTTCTAAGCTATCTTATGAATCTTCCTCTTTTATGGTTGCTTTGGTATTTAGGTGAGGTTGGTTTAAATTATCGTAATGAAGGGACAATTTGAATATATTACTTGAGGTTTAAATCAGAGGTTGGCAAACTTCTTAAAGGGCCAGACAGTAAGTATTTTGGGCTTTGCAGTTCATATGCTCTCTTTCAAAACTACTTAACTTTGCTGTTGTAGTGCCAAAGGAGCCATCGACTCTGTTCCAATAAAACTCTACTTATAAAAGAGGCAGTGGCCCATGGGCCGTAGTTTACCACCTCTCACCCCAGTAAATATATAAACCCAATCGTTTTCTGTGTTAAGGTATTTGCTGAAGAGGTAATTGTGAATGTCATTTAATAGAGTATTTGTCTTTGAGATCTAACATACATGGTATAGTATGTGAAGTATACTAATCTTTATTGTATGGCTCAATGATTATTTATATACATACATATATATCAAGATATAGGACAAAATATAAAGAACATTTCTAGCAGCAACCCAGAAGGCACTTCATGCCCTTTCTCAGCCTAAGTCTCCCCTCTCCCATCAGAGGTAACCACTATTCTCACTTCTGTCATCTTAGTTTTGCCTGTTTCTTGGACATCGTGTAAATGGAATCTAAATGTGTATGGAATGATTATTTTTTAATTTATATATACTAGTGAAAGTATTTTATGAAATCATGGTAGAAAACAGTTCAAGGGGGTATTTTACTGTAACAGAAAAGT